CTGAAGAAGCTTAAAGCCTGGAATGACATCAAAAAGGTGAGTTGCTGGGGGGTGTTCCAAGAGCAAAGCCCAGGTGATGGGACTCTGCTCTTGTCACCGTAGGAACTCCAAACTGTTCTGTTTGGACTTGATGCCGCTGCAAATCCCGTGGCAACAAAACTACAAGAAACTGTAAAACAGAGTTTAAGCCAAGTAAACTTCTCACCGTGCTGCTTTACTCGGTGTTTAGGTGTCTTCATTTTGATGTTGCTTAATAGCTTTTTTTTGTATTCTTAAGAATGATGAACTTCTCACTGGTCCGTGTTTCAGACAAGCAGTGATGATTGTGAAGTTCTGACTGCTGCCGTTTCAGCGTGTCGTACGAGTGGGATTTGGACTATTTTGAATATTCATGAGTTTCATTTCTATATAGGTTTATGCCTCCCAGCGCATGCGGGCCGGAAAGGGTAAAATGAGGAATCGCCGCCGCATCCAGCGCAGGGGACCCTGCATCATCTACAACGAGGACAACGGGATCATCAGAGCTTTCCGGAACATCCCAGGTAACTGGCTAGGGGCATGCTGACGCTGGTGTTGGGAGACTGCCTGGGATGATGAGATTCCACTTCACTGGTCCGTGTTTCTGAGCCCCGTGATCTGGTGGAAGTTCTGACTTGGTGCAGTAGCTGGTAACGGTCTTTCTAAGAATCTGGTTTGGTGACGGATCTTGGTGACGAGCGGTGCAGCTGTTGCCAACCCTGAGCTGCACTTAGAGCCGTTGACAACAAGGCTGTCACGTTTGTTACTGGAAAATTATTATTGTTTTTTGAAGTTAAATAGATTTTGATGCGTAGGTGTACGTGACACTGTGGCGTAGAAGCTAAGAAGCCTTTATCTGTTCCTGCGTACTTCCGCGTCTGTTTCTTGCTTAGTCTTGCATTCCTTGATTTTAATGACAAATCAAGGGGATCGGTTTGCCCGTTTTCCGACAGGAATCACTCTCCTCGACGTGAACAAGCTGAACCTGCTGCTGCCTGCGCCCGGGGGCCACGTCGGGC